AGTGGTAGTGGTAGTGGCAGCGGTAGTGGTAGTGGTAGTGGTAGTGGAGGAGTAGGAGCAGGAGTAGGAGTAGGACTAGGAGTAGGAGTAGTAGTAGTAGTCGTCGTCGTAGTAGTAGTAGTAGTAGCAGCAGCAGAAGCAGTTGTTGTTGTAATAGTAGCAGCAGCAGCAGCAAAGACATGACACGGCCTCCGTCCCTTGGGCTTTGAGTGACAGTTTTCCAGTTACTGAGCTTCAGTCCCTCAGTCAGAGAATGGGCCATTCTCAAAGACCGCATTTTGATCTCCAGCGAGACAGCCCGACAAGTTAACGGATTTCTACGAGCACCCACACAGTGACACTCACAGAATGAACATGGAAGTTTGCCGTAAAAAATGCCTGCCCGCGAAATAAACGTGCAGCATGAACGACACACACCTGAAAGTTGGAACGTGGATGAGGATAAGTAGTGCTGGGATCCCCAATGCTTTACCTTAAGGGCATGAGGGAAATGATGTTCCAACTTTCTGGCTTCTACTCTTGGAGCTGGTAAGGTACAGCCCGGTAGACACACTCTTAAACCTAAACCCTGAACCCTCAACCCGTCAACCTGCAGATAAGAGTCATTCTGCAACACTTTGATGATGGAGGCCTCGTGCTGAGAGGCGCTGCCATTTCGAAGGAGCTGTATATGTGGAAGATTCAGCACGTGAGCCACAGCCGCCTCCGGGTAGAGGGGATTAGGGTTTAGGGCTTTATGTGGAGGGTGTCTTCAAGGGTGTTACAGTGCTATATACCATACTGTATGCCTCCAAAGTCGTACAAAGTTTGGGTTCATATGATGATCCATGAAAATCAGGTTGTGAGCTTGAGGTTTAACGGGTCGAATGAGAGAGCATACATCAGGCTCGGACGTTAAGGGTGGCTGTTCGGGGTCTAACATCGGGTCCTTAATCACTAGCATAGGGTTTTGGGGTGTGCCATCGTATATTTACTGTAGGGCTCAGCTGGGTGCGTGGACCAGTAGATGGCATTCTATTATATATATATATGTATATATATATATATATGTATATGTGGTCACAACTACGGCACCTTCGTGTGCATGTTGTGTTTTCACATCCCAGCGGAAATTTCGACAACAGGGAACCCTACTAATGAAGCCCAGATCGTCGAAACCATCTCTCTCACCCCCGGTGCCGGTGCTAAACACAATCGGAAGGCTTGTGAATCCAGTTGCTCAATTCCCGCGGCGCCCACAAGCTTCAGGGTCTACTTGGACGCTCATGGGTAGTTATAAGTGGAGTCATAAATCCCCTAGCATAGGTTATAACTATAGTTACCTACTTATAACTACCCATGAGCCTCCAAGTAGGGTTTAGGGTTCGCAAGAGATGCAGGGCCATCAACAAACTCCGCTGCTCAACACAATCGAAGGAAGGCCCACTCTCCTGGTCCTTTAAGGCTAAACCCTAAACCATACAGTAGAAGCCCAAAAGTTGGAAACCCAATAGCCTCAATCCTTAAGGGTAATGTATAAGGAATCCCTCATCTATGGCAATTGTGGTAGGTATGTTCCTTATTATGGGTAATGCAGAAGTTATATCATCAACCGTAGTAGCAGAATTAAACCTCGTTGGTTTAACGTGTTGGGGTACTGTTCTGCAATAGTAATGCATGCAGTCCTCCTGGGATGTTGGACAAGGATTCCACAAGTGCATTGCTTAAAGGATCGTGGGATGTCGTAAGTAATGTTATAAGTTATAAGTACCGTGATAGGGGTAATAAGTATTTCTAAGGATACAACCCTTCCGGTAATCCTATTTACTGAGACCCCTGATCCTTTAAGTATTATTTGGAGGTTCATGGGGAGTTTTAAGTTTCGCAAGTGTCTCTCGTGCAGACAAAGCCAGCCGCGATACCTTTAATTTCATTCGCAACTGTCAACAGGATTCTTTTTGTGCCCCTGAACCCTAAACCCTAGACCCCTAGACCGCTTATAGTAAACCCCAAAAAGATTGAAACCGGATTAAGGGTCGGGGGCTTCTTCAATTTAGGGGTCCCTTACCCCATGTAAGGGTTCGGTACAATATGTAAGGATCTTTTTACTGCAGTCAATCTTGGGGGAAGCCAATTGTGTAAGATGTCCGTGTGACCTCAAGGCCCAGGGTTGTTTGGGCTCAGGTTTCGCGGAATAGTCGATGGCGTGATTTCAATGGCGAGATTTCAGCATTCAGGAGGGTAGCGGTTCACGGGCTGCGCCAGACGCAAGCACTCATCTCAGCTGCACTTCAAAGCCCTCAGGCCGAGGCAGTCTTTAACGCTGGACCATAGAATTTGATGAGTGAAGAACCTGCAAAACCCCAACCCCGAGCCCTCACGCCCGGATCTGCGAGAAGGAATGTGCCCTCCAAACCTCGAAGAGCCCGAAACCCTGCTAGTCGATGCTATATAAATCCTGCATTACCTTAATCCACAATCCATGCCCGCTCAGCCTGTACGTCCTCCAAGGACAAGCCATGGCTGTGCAACAGAACAAGCCTAGGTTGCATTTTGCCATTAGGATTGAGCTTTAGACGATCCCCAGGCAGCCCCATTAGGGTCATTGGAATTTACGGTTTTGGGTACAGGGTCCAGGGTGTAGGGTTTAAGACAGAATCAATGAGGAACATAATTGCTCTGCGCTGTCTGGGGGTTCTTGAACCCGAAACCCTAAACCGTTACGAATGCAGCTTAGGGCCTGCGCTGTCTGGGGGTTCTTGAACCCGAAACCCTAAACCGTTACGAATGAAGGGTATACTGCTATACCCTCAACTGAAAGGTACGGGGCTCTCTACAGCTTAGGGCCCCCCAACCAAGCCCAACGCACAACATAGCCAAGCCTTATGCAATAGGTATACATAAATAAATAAATATATATATATATATGTACTTCTTTATACCGAGTAAGTATTGATATATCTATCGGTCGATCGATTTATCTATCTATCTGCCTGTCTCTCTGTCTGTCTGTCTGTCTGTCTGTCTGTATGTATGTATCTATCT